GCGGCGACAGCGCTGGGGTCGCCTTTTCGAGGAGCTGGACCGGAACAAGGATGGCCGCGTGGACGTGCACGAGTTGCGCCAGGGGCTGGCTAGGCTGAGTGGGAGCGACCCAGATCGCGGCGCCCAACAGGTACCCTTGCCGGGGACCCTTCCTGGTGTACAGCTCCGGGATCCCCTGGAGGGAGCGGCGGAGCCCCGGGGACTACCTGTGGCTGGACTCCAGGACCTCTGTCTCCGTTCCCTTCCCCTTGCCCGCCCGGGTCTGGCCTAGTGGGATCGAAAGGCAGGTGGCCAAGGCGCCTGCGAGCTGGCCGCCCGCACTGGCGCCCCGGTGGTGGGCCATGTCTGCCAGGAGCCAGAGCAAGCGCTTCCCTGCCCGCTGTCCCGGACACGCTCTCCGGTGGACTCTGCACCGCCGAGACACGTCCTGCCCCCACCCCCAGTGGACACACCTTCCCGCTTCCTCTGGGCACCCACCGCCCAGCCTCCCTGCTTACGAGCCCTGCCTGCCCTTTCCGGGCCTGGCTCGCTGGCGCGCCCCCACTCCCCACCCCGGGCCAGGACTCGGATCTGGCGTGAGGCCACCTGAGCACCGTCAGTTACTCTTCTCCCTCCCCACCTTGCAGGTCCTTCCTGCCCACAGCCCCCACAGGTGCCCCTGAACCCCCCCGCAGCGTCCTTGAGAACTTCAGTCTCAACTCCCACTTTCCAGGTGGGGAACATGGAGGCCAGTGGCCTCCCATCCCCTCACTGCCCAGAACTGGCTCTAAAAGGGACTGCCACGGGGACAGGCTTTTGGGAGTGACAGCTGGGAGAATCAGCTTTGGAGACAGGAACTCAAGGTTACCACTTTCCCGGGACTCTGTGACCTTGAACTAGTTACATGACCTTTGCAGAAACTCAGTTTCCCCGCCAGGAAAACCAGAGCGCAGCCCTGCGCCTCACACAGCCATGGTGGCCTTGACATCTTGCTGAGGAGCTGACTGGGGGGGAGGGTGACGTCCCCGGGCCCCCTTCCTGGAATGGCTGGGGGCTCTGGGTTCCTGAGGCGGGAGGCCCATATTGTGCCCCTTCCAGAGGCGACGCGGCCTCCTGGAGCCCACTCTGCCCCCTCCCCCTCTGCCAGGACCTCTCCTCCCAGGAGGCAGAGGTTGAGGCAAGCGGTGGCCTGGACCTGGAGGAATTCTCGCGCTACCTGCAGGAGCGGGAGCGGCGCTTGCGGCTGATGTTCCACAGCCTCGACCGCAACCAGGACGGTAAGCAAGGCTGCAGCTGCAGCGGGGACCAGGGAGGGCTGATGGGGTTAGAACTGGCAGTGAGCGGCAAGAGCGGGGAGGGCTGCTTCTCCCGATGACGATGACGCACGGGCTATTTTGGGAGTTCTCCCCACCCCCCATCTAGGTGGTTCCAGTCCTAGGCAGCCTAGCCCACTTCCTTTTCCCTTCTGAAGCAGGACCCCTGTTATCCCCCTTAGATTTTGCTGGGCCACAAAGATTCTCCCATAATGCCTCTGGGTTCCCTAGGGGACAGAGATACCCCCACCCGGAGGACCCCCAACATCACGCACTACGTTCATTCATTCATAGAACAGGGGACTCCAGTATTACCTGGTTCCACCTCTCTGATTCCAGTGCATCAGGGACCTCACTGCACCCCCTACAGCCTTGCCCTGGGTTTCTGGATCTCCTGGTCTCCCTAGATCATCTCCGTTCCAAGCAGCACTGATCCTTGGTACTGGGCCCCCTGCAGTCCCCACACACCCTTCCCCGCCTCCAACCCACTTTGCAGGTCATATTGATGTCTCTGAGATCCAGCAGAGTTTCCGAGCTCTGGGTATTTCCATCTCCCTGGAGCAGGTAGAGAAGATTCTGCACAGGTAAGGGGCCGAAGGGGCAGAATTCCAGGTAACTCCGGCCCCTGGGACCCTTGAGTCATCACCGTCTTCAGAGCAACAGCCAGTTCGAGGGAGGAAGAGCTGAGAAGTTGGGCTTCGGAGTTGGGCAGATCTTGAGCCAGTTGCTTGACCTAGAGGCCTCAGTTTTTGTTTTGTTTTGGTTTTTGGTTTTTTGTTGTTGTTTTTGGTACCAGGGATTGAACTCAGGACCTTGTGCTTGCAAAGCAGGCGGCGGAACCACTGAGCTAAATCCAAACCTCAGTCTTGCCTCACTGTAACATGAGGGTACCAGGCTCCCCTGATAGACTGGGTATGAGGAATCACACAGGATGACCCAGGGAAGGTGATGACAGCAGAACTAGAAAGGCAGAGAGCTCCGTCTCGGTGTACCCCAAACCTGCAGACCCCACAGCACCTCGCCCAGCGCCAGGCACTGAGCTTGTGCCCACCCTGCCCCCAGCATGGACCGTGACGGCACGATGACCATTGACTGGCAGGAATGGCGAGACCACTTCCTGCTGCACTCACTGGAGAACGTGGAGGACGTGCTGTACTTCTGGAAGCATTCCACGGTGAGTCGCGAGAGCCACCTCCCCGGGCTTGGGAGGCTGGGCCCGACCACCACAGGGGGAGCTGCCGAGGAAGGGAGCCGTTTCTCTCTCCCTGCGCGTGGGGTTCAGGAGCCCGGGGACCCTTCTGGGACACTGCCACTGTCTGGGCGGAGTACGTCAGCCTTACTAGGGGGCCTTGGGGGGCAGTCTGTGGGGACAGAGAGTCCAGGGAAGAAAGAGCTCACCCACCGGGTGGAAGACCAGTCCCCACCCCCAACCCTCAGAACCCCCGCTCTGCCGTGTTCTCTTCCCATGCATAAGGGATCTGCTTCTGGACAGAAAAGTTAGGAAGCCACTGGGTGCAAGAGATCTACCGGAAGTGGGGTGGTTGCTCTCGATGCCCACTTCTTTAGACAGTGTCTAAAGAGGACCGTCCATGGGATCTAACGGGATTCTCTGTGGAGATCCAGACACTGCCATCCCAGAACATCTAAGGGGACCTTGATTAGGGATTCTACAATGGGGAGGAAGAGATCTCTGGGAGATCTTGGAAGGCCCCAGGAGGGATCTGCGGAAGTCCTCTCGGAAGGTTCCTGGTCAGAGCTGGTGTGGCTCCAGAGGGATCTTCTGGAACCCTTCCATGGGAGACCCTTGAGTGGGATCTGATGAGCTCTAGGGGGATTATTCGATGGCACATGCTTGGGTAGGATCCAGTGGTGAGATGCGGTGGATGTTTTGGTAGGATTTGATGGGTCCTTTGGAGGTTTAAGGTGGGATTTGATGGAAACTTTGTTGGGATCTGGCGATTCTTTGGTGGGATTTGTTGGAGGGATCTTAAGATCTTATGTGCAGACCACTGGGTTGGACGTTTTGGAGGCATTCATGGGATCCCAGAAGGGTCTTCTGGCCTCTCCAAGCAGGATTCATTAGTGGAGTCTGGGGTGTTGTGGGATCCATGGAGAAGACTCCACATTTAGGACCCCACGTGGTGTGACACCTCCAGGCCCTGCCTGTCCTCAGGTCCTGGACATCGGTGAGTGCCTGATGGTGCCGGACGAGTTCTCGCAGCAGGAGAAGCTGACGGGCATGTGGTGGAAACAGCTGGTGGCCGGCGCGGTGGCAGGGGCCGTGTCCCGCACGGGCACCGCACCTCTGGACCGCCTCAAGGTCTTCATGCAGGTGAGGGGCCCTCCAGGGTAGGGTCCAGCCTGTGCCCAGGTCTGGGACCCACGCTGGATCTCCAAGGCCGCCTTGTCCCCCCCACTCAGGTCCACGCCTCGAAGACCAACCGGCTTAACATCCTGGGGGGCCTGCGGAGCATGGTCCGGGAGGGCGGCGTCCGCTCCCTGTGGCGGGGCAACGGCATCAACGTGCTCAAGATCGCCCCAGAGTCCGCCATCAAGTTCATGGCCTACGAGCAGGTGGGGGCGTGGGGCTCAGCCTGGCGTGGGGACTTCGGGGTTGGCTGGGGGCGCAGGGTGCACGGGGCTGCTCTCCTGCACGATGCCCACAGCGGCGGGACAGCCGGTGAACGGGGCTCAGGGAGCTTCCCCCCAACGCCCACCCACCCCGTCCATCTGCACCCTCAGATCAAGCGGGCCATCCGGGGACAGCAGGACACGCTGCATGTGCAGGAGCGCTTCGTGGCTGGCTCCTTGGCCGGTGCCACGGCCCAAACCGTCATTTACCCCATGGAGGTGAGGAGGGGGTGTGTGGGGGAGACAGCCGTGACTATTCGTTCCTCACTGCGCACCGCGCCTGGGGGAGGCAGCTCGGCCTCTCCCTTATTCAGGACGGCAGCAGCCCATGGAAATAGCGCCATCCCCGATCCAGCCTGTCTGGGAATTACAGTTTGGACTGGCTGTTGCCATAGGAGCAAGTAACCTCTGGGAACCCAGACCTTGGTTAGAACTCATCTGGTAGTAGTCATAGCAACCAGCCATTTCCAGGTATGTTTCTTCTAAGGATAGAATGTTGTTCCCAGAGGTTCTCATCTCTAGATACTCGTTTCACCAAAAAAAGAGAAAAGGAAAAAAAAAATCATTTTAGGTTTCAGGTTGTGAGGTAAGGGAAGTCTTGAGATGAGCAAGTCAGGCCTGGGGTGGTGGACTCAAAAGTGGTAGAGACCCAGGTTCCTTTTGTCCTTTTTGCTGTCCCACCAACTTGGCATGTAGCATCCACCTCATGGTCCAATGGGGCTGCTTGTGCTCTGCTCGTCACATCCCACATTCCAACTAAAAAGAAGCCACAAAAGAGGGACTACCCCCTTGTCTTTTTCTGAAAGTCACGCATGCCTCTCTTCTTTCCTCCTGTTTTATTAGCTAGGAGTTAGTAACATGCCCATATACCTAGAGGGACTGGAAAAGGTGGATTATATTTCTAGTGGCTGTGTGCTTGCTAGAAGTTATCTTGCTATTAATGTGGAGGAAGGGAACATGACATTGAGGTGGGCTGTCACATGCTACTCTGCTAGGCATCACCGTTTCTGATATTTCTGGGGACGGCAGAAGATTGTCAAGTATGTAAATGTTTTTGCTTTGCATGACTGGGGGCTGAACCCAGGGCCTTTGCACTGAGCGACGTCCTCAGCTCTTTTTATCTTTATTTATTTATTTTTGGTACTGGGGATCGAACTCGGGTCCCTGCACTTGTAAGGCAGGTGACGGCACTGCTGAGCTAAATCCTCGGCCCTTTTTATCTTTAATTTTGAGATAGGGTCTTATTTATTTGATAAATTTCCCAGACTGGCTTGGAACCTGTGGTCTTCCTGCCTCAGCCTCCCAGAATCCTGGAACCCAATTATAATTTTTGCTTGATTCGGTTCTCCTCGGGGTCTCTGCCTCAAGGAGTAGCTATTTCTAGATCTCATCCCCCCTGGATGTGATGTTCAGGCTGAGCAACCTCTCCAGGGGTCACTGGCTCCTTCTAGGTGCTGAAGACGCGGCTAACCCTGAGGCGGACCGGCCAGTACAATGGGCTGCTGGACTGCGCGCGGCGGATCCTAGAGCAGGAGGGGCCTCGCGCCTTCTACCGAGGCTACCTTCCCAACGTGCTGGGCATCATTCCCTACGCGGGCATTGACCTGGCCGTCTACGAGGTCGGTGAGCAGCCCACCCTCCGGGGTTGGCCCTGGGGGACGGCTCGGCTGGCTTTGGTCACTGGGAGTTGGGGTGCCTGACAGCAAGCAGATGAACCTCAGAGGTCCCGTTGTTCCCCAAAGCATGCAGCAGACGTAGCCTTTGTCGGAGCAGGGAGCTCCTGATTGCTCATCCAGGTGACTAGGGACCTTGCACTTGCAAGCCAGGCGGCAGAACTCCCCAGCCCTATGTTTTATTTTATATTGGAAGGTCTCAGGCGGGCTTTGCCATTAGGAGCAGCAGTGTCAGGAGGCGTGTGGAGGAGCGCCCGGAGCCGGTGACATCAGAGCCAGGAGTGAAACACACTGTCAGGAAAGGAGTAGAAGCCTTGAGCAGCTAGAGGGAGAAGATTAGCACAGGACATGGCAACAAAGGCTAGCAAGGAGTCCGTGAGGAGGAGCTGGGTTTGTCTTAAACGCGGGTGGGTGGGGCTGAGGGTCATGGGCAGCAATAAGAAGCAAAATTTTTGTTTGTTTTTGAGACAGGGTCTCACCCTGTAGTTTGGGTGAACTCCCTAAGTAGCCCACACCAGTCTTTAACTCAGGGTGATCCTCCTGCCTCAGCCTCCCAAGTGCAGGGGGGTTACATAAAGGCATGCACCTCGGTGCTTGGTTTGTGTTGGGTTTGTTTTTTTTGTGTGTGTTTGCTTGCTTTTGTTTCTTGATGCTGGGGCCAAAAATCAGGACCTCACAGATGCTAGGCAAGTACTTTAGCACTAAGCTACACCCTCCACCCCAGAACAGTTCTTAATAGCTCACTGAACATCTATTTGGCAAACGCTGCTCTAGATCCAAAAGGCAGCTGTTAAAATTGCAGAGGTGCTGGGTGCAGTAGCACTGTATCCTCAGCTACTCAGAAGGCTGAGACAAGAGGATTGCTTGCACCAAGAAGTTCAAGGCCAGCCTCGACGTCATAGCAATACCCTAAGACAGTGTCTTAACTGCAGAGGCAATGAACACTTGCCTCAGTTGGTCCTCGCCTGCACCTGGGCCAGACATTACTGTCGATGCCAGCACTGACTCCTCATCACAGCCTCAGTTCCTGGCAGACATTATGAGTGGATGAGAACAGCAGCCTGACTAGAAGCTTCTGGAAGGCCCCTGGTCCGCCTCTTCCCTCCTAAAGAAAGAAACCTGTGCTCCCTACTGTGAAATATGAACACATGGGAGGCCATAGATATAGCTCACTGGGACAGCGCCTTCTGGCAAATGCAAGGCCCTGAGAGCCATTCCCAGTACCAACACCCCACACACACACAAAAAAATATGAACAAATAGCCCCAAAATCCAAGTTTTATCCCACTTTGATAACCAAACAGATTTAGAAATAAATCTGCCAGGCGTGGTGGCGCACGCCTGTCATCCCAGCACCCGGGAGGCTGAGGCAGGAGGATCGCTGTGAGTTCGAGACCAGCCTGGGCTACACAGTGAGTTCCAGGTCAGTCTCAACTACATAGTGAAACCCTGTCTCAAAAACAAAAACAAAAAACCAACAAAGTATCATAGACCATTTAGTTAGGGAAACATTTTTTTTTCTTTTTGGTTAGTGGAATCAAACTCAGGATCTGTGTTTGCCACACAGGTGCTTGGCTGCTGAGCTACATTCCTGGCCCAGACCGTTTAGTTAAAAACACAGAAATGCACTGTCCCGCAATCCCGGGTCAGAGTCCAAACTCACATAACCAGCAGCACTCTGAAACCTGTCAGGATCCTCCCGGCCACGGCCTGGCTTCTGCTGCTGGCCACAGTCTGAGTTAGTCTCTGATCGATGACTGTTTTTCAGACAAGGCCTCCAAACTGGCCTCAAACTCCTGGGCTCCAGCGATCCTCCTGCCTCAGCCTGCTGAGAGGCTGGGATGACAGGTGTGTGTCACCAAGCCGGCAGCATTGCTTGGCTACAGACGTGTCGACCTCTGCCTCTGCTGTCACCTGCCTTTCTCCTGTGCCCGCGTCTGTCTCTGCACGTCCGCTCTTCTCAGAAGGACACGAGGACAGGTGTGATGGCGCGTGCCTGACATCCCAGCCACTGAGAGGCTGAGGCAGGAGGATCACAAGCGTGAGCCCAGCCTGGACAACTTGGAAAGACCCTGTCTCAACATGAAAAAAGGGCTGGGGATGGAGCTCAGTGGCAGAGCACGTAGCAAGCACAAGGCCCCGGATTCCGGCTCCATCGCCCAAAGTACATAAATACAGACACCAGTCACAGTTACTCATCTTTACCACAAGAGCCTCCTCTCACACCCAGGCACGCGGGGTTAAGACATCAGCACACCTTTGGGGGACACAATTCAAAACTCCTGACTAGCTGGTGTGGTGGCACATGCCTGTCATCCAATCTACTCAGGAGGCTGAGGCAGGAGGATCTCATATTTGAGGTCACCTAGGCAACTCAGGAGACACTGTCTCACCATAAAGCCAGACAAACTCCTGCGTTATCAAGGAAGTCGGCAAGCAGAGCTCTGCCCCTCCAGGATCAGAAGCAGCTGTGGCAGGTGGAAAGGGAGCAGGGGTGCTGATAGACCATCAGTTTGGTATGGTTTTGGTTTTGGTTATTTGAGGCAGGGTTTTGTTTGTTTGTTTGTTTTGAGATAGGGTGTGGCTGTAACCCAGGCTGGCCTTGAATTCACTGTCATATCCCTGCCTCAGCCTCCTGGGTGCTGGGGATTATTGGCGTGTGCTCTATACCGGGGTTAACAGCGTAAATTTTTGAGGTTGCTTCTGGAATGCTGAGCACCGGGCAGCCCGAGCCTCCCAGCCTGGAGCAGAGGACCCTCCCACAGCAGAGGGAGCACTGTGCTGGCTGCCCCGGAAAGGACCTGGGAGGCTGTCCGCTTCCTGTGGTTCTTTACAAACTATCACCAGCGGTGGCTGAGAGCCGCACCATTGTGTCATCTTGGCCCAGGGAGGTTCCAAGTCCAGGGTAGAAGACGGCCTGGCTTCCCGAGATCCCGGTGGTGCCTTCCATTTGGGGAGCCCGAGGGAAACCCCATTGCTTTGCCTTTCCAGCTCCTGAGGCACCAGGGTCCCTCGGCTGTGGGCCTCCTCCGTCTTCAGAGCCGGCTGCGTGGAGCCCTCTCTCCCTCCACCTCTCCCCCACTTCATTCCTTATTATTGGGCTGGGATTTAGCTCAGTGCTTCCGCTGCCTGCTGCTGCCTGCTGCAAGCACAATGTACCCCAAAAACAACGTATCTTGTTTATTTCGGCGCTGGGGGTTGAACAGAGGCCTGTACTGTGCCACTGAGCTCCACCCCATCCCTCCCTTTAGGACCCTTCCTAAGGACCACTGTGAGGGCCAGGGATTTAGCTCAGTGGTTCTGCTGCCTGCTTCGCAAGTGTAAGGTCCCGAGTTCGATTCCTGGTACCAAAACAAGACACGCCTGTGTCCCAGCTCTCGGGAGGCCGAGGCAGGAAAATGGCTGAGAGTTCAAGGCCAGCCCGGGCTCCGTAGCAAGACTGTCTCAAAACCACCAGAAAACTAAAGAGTCAAATCAGAAAGAGCTGGGACATTGCTCGCTGGCTCGGTGCAAAGGCCCCAGGACACTGGGCGCCCTCCAACGGTGCGGGAAGCTCACAGTCAAAGCCCTTAGCTTCTCCCTTTCAGCAGCCTCCTGGGAGCCTGGCCAGGTCCTGCTCAGGGGTCCCAGGGCCTGGGCCGGGCAGTTACAGGGCCTCGTTCCCTCCGGGTGGACGGAGAGGAGGGCCCGGCTTGGTGCTCCTCAGTTCCCGGGTCCTGGAGCACAGCCGGCTGCAAGGTCCCTGACCCAGGCTCTGCCGCTGCCACCCTCCCCGCTCCCTCCAGACCCTCAAGAACCGCTGGCTGCAGCAGTGTGGCCGCGAGTCGGCTAACCCGGGGATCCTCGTGCTCCTGGCCTGTGGCACCATCTCCAGCACCTGCGGCCAGATCGCCAGCTACCCCCTGGCTCTGGTCCGGACCCGAATGCAGGCCCAAGGTGAGAGCAGGCTGGGAGGATGAGGCAGGAAAGTCTCCCCACTTGAGGTCCACCTGCCCTTCCCCAAGCCCTTAGTGGTAGAGCCCTGGCGTGGGATCCTCCTGGATTTGGGAGGCCTCTGTGCCTCAGTTTACCCATGTTTGGTATCAGCAGAGGCATCCTTTACCCTTAGGGAGCTGAGGGGGAACTAGGGGAACTGTCTGGGAAAAGCATGCTGGGAGTCTTATCCCGAGGCCCTGTTGGCCCTGGTGTGGCTTTTCCAGGAGAGTAACCTGAGCTCCAGTCTGCAAGGCTGGGCTGCAGTGTGCAGGAGGCTAGGAGCAGGTTAGGGAGAGTCAGGCCCCTGCCTGGCTATTGGGGTTTTTTTCTATATTTTTCTCATGGTTTCTTCTCTCCCTCGTCGATCCATTCCCTTGAGTATTTTATCATTTGTGTCTCATGATTTTCACCTGGAATCATCAGTGACTATGAGACATAGTCCCCAGCCAGGCGTGGTGGCCCATGCCTGTCATCCCAGCACTCGGGAGGCTGAGGCAGGAGGATCGCTGTCAGTTCGAGACCAGCCTGGGCTACATAGTGAGTTCCGGGTCAGTCTCAGCTACATAGTGAGACCCTGTCTCAAAAAGCCAAACCAAACCAAACCAAACAAAAAAAACAGAGAGACAGAGAGACATAGTCCCCAGACAGAGACTACATGGCAGAAAGGCTCAAAGAATTTTCCATGGAAGTATCAATTTAGGGCTAAATAAAGGGGAAGAGGGGAAACCTCGCTTAGACTGGGGTTCCATGGGGGTCCCCTCAAGGGCTGGCTTTGGACTAGAGCTGGGGGACGTGCCTAGGGTTAGGCAGGAAGGGAGGGTAGGCTGAGTTCCAGGAAGTGACATTTCTGCGCTCTCCCTCACGCGCCCGTGAGTCCTTGTGTTTCTGTGCGCCCTCTCGTGTGGTCCCTGGGTCCTGGCACCAGTCGAATGGTCCATGACTGCGCTGGCCAGGCTGTCAGTCGGACCCTCCTCCCTCCTGGTGCAGCGCTGGGGTAGGAGGCGGAAGGGGGTGGACTCGGCCTCACTCGGCCTGCCCTCCCCAGCCTCCCTGGAGGGCGCCCAGCAGCTCTCCATGACAGGTCTGCTGCGACACATCCTGGCCCAGGAGGGCGTGTGGGGCCTGTACCGGGGCATTGCGCCCAACTTCATGAAGGTCATTCCGGCTGTGAGCCTCTCCTATGTGGTGTACGAGAACATGAAGCAAGCCCTGGGGGTCTCGTCCAGGTGAGGGACCCGGAGCCCCTCCTCACCCTGATCCCTCACCCCGTCGTGGGTGCCTCCCGCACTGCCGCCCTCAGCCTCTGGACACTGAAATCCCAGCCATGGATTCCGGGTGCGCCCCACCCCGGACCACTGGACCGCAGTACCCCAAGTCTAGATCCAAGATCCCCCAAGTGTGCTGGATCCACACTTCAGCAGCTCATATCTAATACGGGAACCACAAAATCCCGGATGATCCACACCCCAGCCCTGAACCCCTGTCCCCCTAGATCCAGCACCCCACGTCCCAAAGGTGGGTCCCACCTTCCCTGTGCCACCCCCTGGATCCTGGACGCCCACGTCTTAATCACTGGATCCCCAGCCACTGGAGCACACGCCCTTCTGTACCCCATCACCCAGACCCCAGATCCCTCAGGCACCAGATCCAGACCCCTGTACAGCACTGGGTCCTCGATCCCAACCTCACTGGCCAGTCGCGATCGCCACACAAGCCTTGCCTCTCCAAGCTCGGCCACTGGATTCTGGATGTCGAGAAACCTCAGCCACAGGATCCTGTCCGTGCAGGGCCTCGATCCTGGGGCCCCCACTTCCGAAGCCCAGATCCCTTCACCAGACCCCTGGATCCCTGAATTCCTTTACCTCGACCCCTGGGTCTCAGGTCCTTCGGCTCTGACTGCTGGATCCATGCATTTCAAGCACCCTCACCACCACCTTGACCACTGGCTCCCAAATTTCCAGTCCACAGCCAGGGGATTCCAGGTTCTGGATTCTACATTCCTTCCCCTGGGGCACTGGTTCCTGAGACCTCGGTCCGGGAGGCACTTGTTAACCCTCCGGGCCGCTGAATCCTGACCCTCGGCCCTTGCATCGGGGACCCCATCTGAGGTCCACGCCTGCAGCCCTGGGGAAAGCCCCACTCCCACACGCTGGCTCCAGAAAAGTGGCGATCAAGGCCACGCGGTGAGGGTGGGTGCCGGACCCCCCACCGCCCCTGCGCACACCCGTCCCGTGACCCCAGCACTGACTGCCTCCTCTTCACCCCCCACGTCTGCCGCATCTTCCGCCCCTGCCCACCTTGCACCCTAACGGACCCCCAGAGCCCGAGTCCCTGGGAGTGGCCGGTCCCTTCTTCTAGGGGCTGGCGAACGGGCGGTCTGAGATGGTGGCACATTACGGGGTCCTCCCCTCCCCGACACTGCCAGCCCCTCTCGGGCTTCAAAAATGGATGAGCCAGAAACAGATGCACACATCTAAGCCCCAGCATCCGGGGATGCGGAGGCAAACGAACGAAAAGGTCAAAGCCCGCCCGCTCACGCCAGGTCTATTTTTCTACGGGAGAGGAGAGTAAAGCCACCCCCGCACCACCCCCCTTGGCTTTTTGCCCTTTAGAGTCGCGTTCTGAGCTTAGGAGAGTGGAGCCCCGCTCTCCTCCCAGTCCTTAGGGGACCCCATGTGACGGGAGGACCCCCCACAGCTGCCTCCTCCTGCCTCCACCTCACTCTGCCCTGGCTGTGTGTTTCAAAGGGGGTAAAAAGGAGGAATAAATTTTCTAAGCTCTTTCACTGTGTTTTTGTTTTTCTGAAAAGAGAGGGGTTGGATATGGGACCGTATCAACCCACGAAGAAGGGACAGAGGCTGTTTCGCCACTCACAAGGCTGGGGGCGGCAGACTCCCAGATGGGACCCCCTTTTAGAGTTCGGTTCTGTTTCCATCTGGAAAGCAGAGTTGAGGTGGAGTCCATATTCCTGACCTCTTTTTCGTTTGTATGGGGCAGGCTCAGGCTGGCCTTGAGCTTACTATGTAGCCCAGGCTGTCCTGGACTCAACAGCAATCCTCCTGCCTCAGCCTCCCAAGCTGTGATATTACAGGCGTGTGCCACCACGCCCAGCATGGCCTCTTCTCATTTTATGCATTTTTTTTCTAATTCCACATGCTTATTGACCAGAGCATATTACTACAAACTGGGTGGCTTTGTTTGGATTTTGCTTTTTTTTTTTTTTTTTTTTTTTTATGCACTGGGACACGAAAACAGAGCCTTCACACTGAACTACATCCCCAGCCCTTTTTTAATTTTTAATTCTGAGACAGGATCTCAATAAATTACTAAATTACCCAAGTTGGTCTTAAACTTGCAACTCTGCTGCCTCAGCCTCCCAAAGTGCCGGGGTAACAGGCATGCACAAACTGGGTGACTTCAGGAATTTTTCTCTTGGGCCAGGAATTTTGACTCAGTGGTTCTGCCGCCTGCCTTGCAAGCACAAGGTCCTGAGTCCAATCCCTGGTAGCAAAAAAAAAAAAAAAAAAAAAAAAAAGGTTTTCTTTTGCATTTTTATTGTTATCAGTACATGTTGGAAGTATGTAATAATTATAATCATCGTGAAAATTTTTGTTTTGCTTTTGGTTTTTTGAGACAGGGTCTCACTATGTAGTTGAGACTGACCTGGAACTCACTATGTAGCCCAGGCCAGTCTCGAACTCACAGCGATCCTCCTGCCTCAGCCTCCCAAATGCTGGGATTACAGGTGTGTGCTACCACACCCAGCTAACATTTTTTATCATGGTAAAATATACATGATATAAAATTTGCTGCTATATTTTAGGGCAGAAGAGCCAGGGGTGTTGACAGCACTTGGGAGGCTGAGGCAGGAGGAACACAGAGAGTTCCAGGCCAGCCTGAACTACTTAGTGAGACACTGTCTCCAAAACAACAAAAACCAAAATACATTGAAGGGCAGAGACATTCGGCACATTCACATCACCTCTGCCCACCTCCAGGACTCTCTCCTCTCCCTGAACCAAACCTCTGTCCTCATGAAACAGAGCACATAATATGTGCCAGACTCAGGTCTAGGAATGGGAGGCAGCAGGGTGTGGTGGCACACGTGTGTAGTCCCAGCACTCGGGAGGCTGAGGCAGGAGGATCGCTGTGAGACCAGCCTGGGCTACACAGTGAGTTCCAGGTCAGTCTCAACTACATAGTGAGACCCTGTCTCAAAAAAACAACAAAAAAAAAGTAGATATGGGATGCAGAAGTGTGGATGAAACAGACAAAACATAGGTAAATATGTAATAGGGTAGAAATCAAAAGTGCTATGAATAAAAGCAAGAGAGAGAGAGGGAGTAACAAACATTGCAAGGCTAGGTTTAGAGTGTAAATAGGTTAAATAGGGTGGTCCTGGAAGGCCACATGAAAAAGGTGACCATTTGAGTAAAGACTTTAAAGTGGTAAAGGAGAGAGCTATAGTGGTGTCCAAGAAAAAGCATTCTAGGCAAAGGGCACGGCACATGCAAAGGCCCTGGGGCAGGACAGGTCAAGGAGGCTCTGTTGCTGGAGCAAAGGGAGCAAGGGGCAGAGAGAAGGAAGGGGAGGCAGGGAGGGGACAGGCGGGCATGCAGAGCCCAGTAGGCTGCAGGGAGGATTTGGGCTTTGGCCCCAAGGAGGTGGGAGCCATGGAGGGCTGAGGGCAGAGGAAGGAGAGATGCGACTCTGTGATCATAGCGCCCTCTGGTGGCTCAGGGACTGACCTTTACGGGTAGTGAGGGCAGGACTGGAGGAACAGAGCCATGGAGACTGCCCTAGTCCCATGAAGCCCAGGGAAGCTGGCTTCGAGTCTGTTGACCTAAAGAGCTGAGAGGATGGAGGCGCCTTCCACTAAGATGCTCTCGGATCCTGTTTCCTAAGCATGCAGTATAGTCCATGCCTTCCAATTTGAAAAAGAAGGGACCTAAAGAAACTTGAAGGCAACACGGCAAAAGCTGGACATGGTGGTACACGCCCGTTATCCCAGCGCTCTGGGAGGCTGAGGCAGGAGGAGCACGTTAGAGCCGAGCCTGGGCAACTCGGAGAGACCTTGTCTCGCAATAAAAAATAAAAAGGGCTGAGGGGCCGGGAATTTAGCTCAGTGGTTCTGCTGCCTGCCTCACAAGCACAAGGTCCGGAGTTTGATCCCCAGTACAAAAAAAAGGGGGGGGGCTGGGGCTGGAGCTCAGGGTGAAGGCCTTGGGTCATCCCCAGTGCCACAAAAAATTATAGATCAAGTGGCTTTAGCAAAGGGCATTTATTCCTCATAGTGCTGGGAGGCTGGAAGGTCCTTCCAGTCCTGGTGAAGGCTTCCCTTGGCTTGCAAACAGCTACTATCTCGCTGTGTCTTCACAGTGAAGACAGAGGGTTAGAGCTCTGCTGTCTCCTCCTCCCAAGTGCTGGGGATTGAACCCAGGGCCTTCACACTCAGCTCCACCCCCAGCCCTCTTTATTATTTTTGGGAGTCAGGGTGGTGCTATGTAGGTAGGCCATGGCAGAAACGGCACGGTGGGAGGGGCTGGGGAGAGAAAAGCCCACATCCCGAGGTGACCAGGAGGCAGAGCGGAGGGAGACACTGGGGAGGGAGACATAACCTTCGGGTCTCTTCTCTTCCCTCCAGGAAGCCACCTCCCAGCCCTGGCCTGCGTCCTAACAACCTGGAACTAATCAATGAGTGAATCCACCGATGAGTAACAGCACCCCTAACACCCAGTCACCTCCAAAAGCCCCACCTCTGAACACATCCTTTTGGGGGACGGGTAGATCTAAATCATAATAGACATTCACGTGGGCTAGATGTGGCGGAGCATAGCATAATCCCAGCGGTCGGGAGGCTGAGGCAGGAGAATTACCATGAGTGGGAGCCCAGCCTGCGCAACACAGCGAGTCTGAGACCAGCTTGAACTACACAGCGAGACCCTGTCTCAAAAAACAAGAACTAAGGGACCTTAGCAACATGTCTTCTCAACCTCCAAATTCTGTGCCATTGAGAGGGCTTTCACATAAGAATTTCAGCAGGACACAATTCAGTTCACCGCAGTAACATCCCCACGGGGTTGGGGGACAGGGTGGGCCATCACTCTGCCCACCACACCCACGTCGGTCACAAGGGTCTCTATGACTTCACCCCAGGGGTCCCAAGTGACCACGTGCTCCCACCAGCCACTCCTACCTCCAGCTGCCGTGGGTGTTGGTCCTGAGGACTCGCAGGACTCCGGCTCAAGGGTCCGGACCCTGAATCAGAGGGTCAAGGGCCCGCCTGTCAAACCCGGCTCTGAGCCTCCTCCCGCACCCGCGCCCCGGCCACCTCCGCCCTCCCGGAACCCCGGCTGTACACTTGTGTACGGGTTTGTGTTCGGTCACGTGGCTGAGGGCCATCCTGACCACCTCCCGTCCCAGCAGCTGAGTGTGCGACCTCGGAAGTCCCAGTGCTTCCGGCCTGGACCGCAGGGGAGGGATCCCCGCCACACAGCTAGGACAGAAGCCCGGAGGAGGCCAAGGACCTGCACGGGCTGGGGCTTCCCTGCAGGTGCTGGACACGGGAGAGCAGCTGATGGTCCCCGTGGAGGTCCTGGAGGCGCAGAACAACGGGCCCCTGTGGAAGTTTCTGCTGTCGGGCGCCGTGGCCGGGGCGGTGTCCCGCACGGGCACGGCGCCTCTGGACCGCGCCGAGGTGTACATGCAGGTGGGTGCGCAGGGCTCCGGGACCACAGGGTGGGGCTGGGGACGGACAGAGCTCAAGGAGGGGGTTTGGGCCGAATGGGGCTCCCACAGGGCGACGCTGGGATTGGAGTTGTGGCCAGTGGGGTGGGGGGCTGCTAGGGCCGCCTGGGGGACGGGGACCAACCCCGAGCGGGGGGCTGAGCTTTCGGAGACCGCGCAATGGGGCGAGGTGTGTGCGCGCAGGCCTTTGGGTGGGCTCTGGAGACTAAACCAGGCTGCAGCTGTTAATCCCAGCACTCTGGGAGGCTGAGGCAGGAAGATCAAAAGTTTGAGTCCAAGTGGAGTCACCTCACAAGACAATGACTCCTTATTGTGAGAGCTCAGAATGTAGTCCCCGCGCAAAGGCCTTGGTTTAATCTTCAATACGCTGGGTCGGCGTTGGGTCCCGGCTGGGGTGCAGGTGCAGGGGCGCTGGAGGGTCCTCATGGGGCCTCCCCCCAGGTCTACTCCTCCAAAAACAACCTCATGAACCTGCTAGGAGGGCTCAGGAGGATGGTGCAGGAGGGCGGCGTCCGCTCCCTGTGGCGGGGCAACGGCATCCACGTGCTCAAGATTGCCCCCGGAGTCCGCCATCAAGTTCTCCGTCTTCGAGCAGGTGGGGCAGTCTGCGGCGCCCCGAGCCCTCCGCTCAGGGTCAGCTTCTGCCTCACCGCCCTCTCCCCTCCAGTGCAAGGGCTACTTCTGTGGAGAACACGGGTCCCCGCCCTTCCGGGAGCGGCTGCTGGCGGGCTTCCTGGCCGTGGCCATCTCGCAGACGCTCATCAGCCCCATGGAGGTGAGCGCAACTCTGCCAGCGGCTGCAGGCCCCGCCCTCCCCTCCCCCACCCCTTCCCTCTGCTTGTTTTCTTCTCCTTCCTTTCCTCCTTTCGGGTTTCTTCTCATCCTCCTCTACCTTCTGCCCCCACCCCCACTTTCCTATTATGAGATAAACGTCCAGCTTTGACTTCTTAGCCCCAGGCAGTCATTTCAACGCTGCGCTGTGTCCTGCACCAGCCACCCGCCTCACCACAAGGTCCAAGATGCACCTTTGGAATTTACCGAGTTCCTGCATATGTTCCGGTTGATTTGGGGCCTCTTTTCCTGTTGTGTTCTCTCTCTCTCTAACTGAAGCTATATCTATCTGTAACTGAAGCACTGAGCTATATCCCAAGCACACACACCCCCCACACCCCCACACCCCCCGCTTTCTTTTCTTTGTTTTTTGAGACAAGTCTCACCAAATGGCTAAGTTGCCCAGGCTGAACTTGAGCTTGTGATCCTCCTGCCTCAGCTTCCTGAGTTAGGATTACAGCTGTCTGTTACTATGCCCAGCAATTTGGCCCTTCTAAGAACAACAGGAAGCTGGGCATGGTGCTACCTGCCTGTAATCTTAAGCACTCAGGAGGCTGAGGCAGGAGGATCACAAGTTCAAGTCCGGGCTGGACTATATAACTAGACCATCTCTAAAAAAGAAAATCAACAGGAAGGGGTGGGAGTGTGGCTCATGACCCTGGGTTCGATCCCCATTACCACATAAAAACAAAGCTTCGAATCCCTGATTTCTTGTGTGACTGGCCTACTCTGGACACCTTCTGATTCCCTTAAACCAACTGATTAAAGTGCTTTAATTAGCTCTGCAAAATAACTCTGACCATTGACTGGCACAGTGCCTGGCCCAATCGCGGGATGCCGCCCTCTGGTTCTCACAGGTGGGTGGGCAGGTGGGAGGCACCTTGCAGGGCTACAAATGGCTGGAGGAAGCTTGGACTGTCGTGAAATAGCCAAGGCTGGGTGATCGAGCAAAGAAGTGAGGGTTCTTTGGCGCCCAGCACTGGAGGTTCAAAGGTGACGGGTGACAGCCTTCTGCTGGCAGAGGACATCGTACTGTGAGAGACAGAGGGCACGGGTGCAGGGTGCTGTCCTTCTGATAAAGCCACCAGGATCCCAAGTTCTATTCCTAGTCACCTCCTGAAGCAGCCTCTCTTGACCCGTGTCACATTAAACTCCTACACTCCTTACCCCTCACAAAGGGATTCAATTTCCAAACTTGGGGCCGGGGATTTAGCTCAGTGGCACACAGAAGGTCCTGAGTTCGATTCCTGGTACCCACCCAGCCCCGCAAATTCTACACACTTGGAAGCCCTGTGGAACCCTCAAATTACATCTAAACCACGGTAGAGACTGCCTCAAATTTTGCCTGTGGTTTTTTGGTTTGTTTTTTTCTTTGCTGTGCTAGGGATTGAACCCAAGATATCCATAGCCCTTTCTATTTTACTTTATGTTACTGATTTATTTAGGTTTTCTTTGGTATCAGGGATGGAACTCAGGACCTCAAACTTGCTAGGAAAGCGCTGCACTGCTGAGCTACATCCCTGGCCCTGTGTTTTTGTTTTTTTTTTGGTTTTTTGAGACAGTGTCTCACTATGTAATTGAGACTGACCTGGAACTCACTATGTAGCCCAGGCTGGTCTCAAACTCACAGCAATCCTCTTGCCTCAGCCTCCAGAGTACTGGGATTACAGGCGTGAGCCACCACACCCGGCTCGTTTTTTTGTTGAGACAGGGTTTCACCCTGTAGTCCAGGCTGGCCTTGAAATCACTATGTAATCCTCTATGGCCTCAAACATGCCTGGCTCAGATTTTTTTTTTTTGGTACCGGGGATCAAACTCAGGTCCTTGCGCTTGCGAGGCAGGCAGCAGAACCAATGAGCTAAATCCCTGGCCCATGGCTCAGATATTTTGATATGGTGGTATTTTGTCAAAATTCTGGCTTCTGGCCAGGCATGGTGGCATGGATGTAATCCCAGTACTCTGGAGGCTGAGGCAGGAGGATCACTTCAAGTTTGAGGCCAACACAGGCTACAGGGGAAGTTCAAGGCCAGCCTGGACAACAGAGTGCGATCCTGTCTCAAAAGAACTCCCCCCAAGTCAGGCTTCTGGTTTCTACAGACTGGTAAATCTGGCCCTGTGAGGCCTGCATTCCTGCAGTGCCGTAGGATCATCAGGAGTTTGAGGCCAGCCTGGGCTACACAGTGAGACCCTGCCTCAAAAAAATAAAAGCCAACAACAAAAGAGACGCTAACATGGCCAGGGATTTAGCTTAATGATTCCACCACCTGTCTCGCAAGTGCAAGGTCCCAAGTTCAATCCCCGGTACCAGAGATAAAAAAAGAAACTAACAGACCTCACTGTCCACACCCACTCCCTTAGTCCCTTGATTTGTTGACACATGAGCTTCGCAACCCTGAGCTCCACATCCAGGGTGCGAGACCAGTGGCCTCAGTGCTCCCAGTCAGTAGGACGGGGGCCAACAGCGGCACTGCTGAGGTCCCGGCGAGGATTGAACCAGATGAACTTGCCCCCACCCCAGGTGCTCAAGACCAGGCTGACCTTGCGCCGGACAGGCCAGTACCTGGGGCTGCTGCGCTGCGGGAGGCAGATTGTAAGGAGGGAGGGCGCCCGTGCCCTTTACCACGGTTACCTGCCCAACATGCTCGGCATCATTCCCTACGCCCGCACCGACCTAGCAGTCTATGAGGTGACGTACCCTGCCACAGAGGGCTTTGTTCTTTTTTATAGCTGTATAGTATTCCTCCGTGTATAGAGACCACATTTTCATTCATTTATTGATGAATATCTCGGTTGACTGCACATGTTGGCTCTTGTGATATTCTTGTCCTCTTCTTTTGCAGATGCTACGGTGCTTATGGCTGAAGTCAGGCAGGGATATGGAGGCCCCCAGAGGCCTGGTCAGCCTGTCCTCCGTGACTGTCCACAACCTGTGGACAGATGGCCAGTTATCCACTGACTTTGGTGCACACCGGGATGCAGGCACAAGGTCAGCCTAGCCTTAGTGGCCACCACACATGACCTGGGTGCCTTTTCCAGCTCTGAGTTTCCTCATCCTCTTGCTTTTGATTTTTTGAGACAGGGTCTCCATATTAGTTCTCCTGCCTCAGCCTCCCAAATCGCTGGGATTACAGGTGTGTACCACCACACCCAGAATCCTCTTGAGCTGATTCCTAGACCTCCACAGCTGATCCTGGCCACCTCTGCTGACCTTTGAATTCACCAAGACTTTTTTCTTTTTTTTTGTTTTTGCAGTTGGGATTTAACGCAGGGCCTTTACAGTAAGCCATATCCGTATCCCCTTTAGGTTTTTTGTTTGTTTGTTTTTTAATTTCGTGAGACAGGGTGTCACTGTATAGTTCATCCTGGCCTTGAACTTGCTATGCAACCCAGGCTGGCCTTGAACTCACAGCAATCCTTCTGCCTTAGCCTCAGGAGTGCTGGGAGTACAGCCATGTGCCACACCCTGCTTTTTTGGGGGGAATGGGGAGAGACAGGGTCTTGCTACATTGCCAAGGCTGGACTCAAATTTGTGATCTCCCTGCCTCAGCTTCAGGGAGTGTTGGGATTATAGGTGTGCAGTGCCCTGCTCAGCTCCACCAAGATTTATTACATTACTTGGGAGGCTGAGGCAGGAGGATCCCTGTGAGTTTGAGACCAGCCTGGGCTACATAGTGAGTTCCAGGTCAGTCTCAACCACATAGTGAGACCCTGTCTCAAAAAAGAAAAACAAAACAAAAAACAAAAAAGGCTACTGCATCCCTCAATCTGATCCCAAGCCTCAAATTAATCCTTTACAAAGTCACTAAACTAGGCATGGTGGTGCAAGCCTCTAATCCCAGCGCTCAGGAGGCTGAGGCAGGAGGATCACCACAAGTTCAAAGCCACCCTGTTCTACATAGTGAGATCAAGGCCAGCCAGAACTACAAAGCAGGCTCTACAGCAAAAAGCAAAAAGTCACTAAAGCGAACATCTATCTCCCACATAACTCCACCATTCCCACAACAGATGACCCAGACATTCACACTGATCCTCAAGACACCCCCCAAATGACCATCTAGCCTCTGCCAAACAGACCAGTTCTGAGCTTGCCTCTGTCTCCACAGACACCGCGGAGGGCTCCAAGTCCGCCATGAGTGGAGTCTTTCGGCAGATCCTGGCCGAGCAGGGCTGGCAGGGGCTGTACCGAGGCATGACTCCCACGTTACTGAAGGTGTTGCCGGCGGGTGGCATCAGCTAGGTGGTGTATGAAAGCCATGAAGAAAACACTAGGCGTGTAGGCCATGAGCTAGATGAGGCGTCCTAACAGGAAATGGGGCAGAAGCTTCGGTGTCCCTGGGCTCCCTAGAGCCCTCCAGGGCCCCAAAGAGCCCACTCATGCAGATTTTGGTTTCAAAAGCCAGCTTGGGGCTTGCCTCAGAAGATATCCGGGGGTCCCTGCCCAGACTACAGCCTGGCTTCTGCTCGGCTCATCCTGGCTCTAGCACTAACGATGGATGTGGAGTCAACCGGATATACAGATAAATCTCTGCTGGCCGTGTCTGGGATGCGGGATTCTAGAAGCTGAGGCCCTGGGATCCGTGGTTCCACGACGGGAGCCGCGGGTTCGGATCCCTTCAGCGAAGACAGTAGGGAGACAATCACGCTGGGGAGAGGAGTTGGTCCCATGATTTCCGGAACTGGGTCTCCTCCAGCTCTGAGGCCACCTCGACCCCGGTAGCATCTGATCTACCAGGCCTCAAGCAAGCCACGTGCCGGGCCTACCAAGCCAGGACGCTGAGGCGCTAACTTAGACTGCAGGCCCAAGCTCGGTGAGCCGGTCACCGCCGTACACGTAGGCTGCCATTCACTGCGACTCCGGCTAATCCGCTCTCGCTGTCTGAGGACCGACTCCGCCCCAATGCCGCTGCGCTTTCACTGGCTCCCACCAAAACTGGGCAAGTTTATTTTCTTCGTTGCCATTTGCCCAGAGCTGTGTCAGTCATCTAACACCCGCCCCTATCGCTCAGCTATTGGTTAAGAAGTGAAGGCTAGAAAAGGATTCTGGTTAATAAGAAAAGCAATCAAGAGCAAATCCAAGCTCGTCACTCTATAGTCATTAGCGATTGGATTAAATTGACCGACAATCACTACAATCACTGCCTCTCTTGCATGTTTATTGGCTTGCGTGCCCGACGATCGCCAGCCCTACCAGTCCAAAGAGGTCTTTTGCTAAGCCCCGCCTTCCACCCCACGTGACTCTTCGGCGCCATTAATACTATTCCGAAGCCGCCCCAGGAATCTAGAACTCACACCCCATTGGGCGTCCTGCCTTCCCGGACTGCCATGATTTGCCCAGACAGAGCCGGCAGCCCGCAGTCCATTGCCTCCAAGAACAGTCAGTCACTCGGCGCCTTCCGCCCACTGCCTCTCAGGGCAGTCCGATTGGCCGCCCGCTTCCAGGGCTCGTGATTGGTGTGCGGGGAACGACGTCCCCTCCCTATAGGTCATGCTACACCGTCCATCAAGACGCCGGCGGGAGGGGGCGACCCTCTCCCCCTCGTCGTCTT